CTCAAGAGGGATGGTTTCAGTCTCTCTCCATTGAGAATAATGTTGGGTGTTGGTTTTGCATAGATGCCCTTTATTATGTTGAAGAATGTCCCTTCTATTCCTATTTTCATGAGAGTTTTGATCAGGAATGGGTGTTAGATTTTATCAAATGCCTTTTCAGCATTAATTGGTATGATCATGTGGTTCTTCTCCTTTGTTTTATTTACGTGGTGGATGACGTTGATTGTTTTTCTAAAGTTGAACCATCCCTGCATACTTGATATGAACTCCACATGGTCTTAATGAATGATTTTCTTGATACATTGTTGCAGTCTATTGGCTAGGATTTTGTTGAAGGTTTTTGCATCTATATTCATGAGGGATATTGGTCTGTAGTTTTCCTTTTGTGTGATATCTTTGCCTGGTTTTGGTATCAAGGTATGCTTGCTTCATAAAATGAGTTAGGGAGGATTCCATCCTTTACTATGTTTTGGAATAGTTTGAGTGGGATTGGTATCAGTTCTTCTCTGAATGTTTGGTAGGATTCTCTGGTGAAACCATCTGGGCCAGGTTTCTTCAGTTGGTAATTTTTTGATGACCTGTTCAATTTCTTCTTTTGTGAGGGACCTGTTCAACTTTTCTACATCAGTCTGTGCTAGTTTAGGTAAGTGGTGTGTTTCTAGAAATCTGTCCATTTATTCCAGATTTTAAATTTGTTGGAGTACAGTTCTTCATAGTATCCTGATATTATCTTTTTGTTTCAGTTGATTCTATTGTGATGTCACCCATTTCATTTTCTAATAGTGTTATTTGTATCCTCTCCTTCTTTTCCTTTGTTAAATTTGCCAGTGGTTTGTCAATTTTATTGATCTTTTCAAAAACCAATCTCTGGTCTTGTTGATTTTTTCTATTGCCCTTCTATTTTCTGTTTCATCAATTTCTGCTCGAATCTTCTGGTTACTGTAGGCTTTTCTTGCTGTTCTTTTTCTAATTCTTGGGAATGTTTGGTGTCATTTCCTTTTTGGTCATTTGGTAAAATTCTCTAGTGAAACCATCTGGGCCAGGACTTTTTTTTCTTGGTAAGTTTTTTTATGACCTGTTTAGTTTCTTCTTTTTTATGGGCCTGTTCAACTTTTCATGTCATTTTGTGTTAGTTTAGGTAAGTAGTGTGCTTCTAGAAATCTGTCCATTTCTTCTAGGTTTTCAAATTTGTTATAGTACAGTTCCTTATAGTATCTTGATATTATCTTTTTCATTTCAGTTGATTCTGTTGTGATGTCCCTGAACTCATTTCTTATTCATGTTATTTGTTTTATCTCCCTCGTTCCCTTTGTTAAATTTGTTCATTTAAATTTCCCTGTGTTAAACTTCCCTTTGTTAAATATTTTAATTTCATTTTTTATTTTTTCTATTAGCCAGTTGTTCTTAAGGAAAGTGTGTTCAATTTCCATGTGTTTGCTCTTTTTCTCTTCATCTTCCTATTGCTGATTTATAATTTTATAGCATTGTGATCTGAGAAGATGCTTTGCAGTATTTCAATGTTTATAAATGTACTAAGGCTTCCTTTATGACCTAACTTGTGGTCAATAATATGAACATTTTTGAGTGTTTATGTTATAGTTTAGAGTGGCTACATAATACTCATCAACATACATGCTTTCCTTTTTCTTATATTAGACTTCAAATACTTTCCAGTTTTCTTGAGCTATGAAATTCTACAAATCTTTTAAGATAACTCAGAGAAAAAGAAACAGGAATGTCTTTCTCTTGATTCTAGAATGATAAACATGACACTGAACTATAACCAGGTTTCCAAGTTTATTGTTAACCCCAACATCCATGCACAATCCTGCCTATCTTGGGGCCAGTTCTGAGGACCACACATCCTCATCAGCAGCCTGAGCCTTACAACCACAGTGTGAGGAGTCATCCTTTTGTCCATAGATGAACTTAATGATGATCAGATAATCTCCCTCATCAGAGCTATGTTTACTCTGCAAGCTAGTTCTGAGCACCTTATGTGTAGGCAGGAGGAGTTGAAGGTGGATGAGCCTGGGAAGCTACCTTGGAGGGTTCCCATGTCCTCAGATGGAGAGGAGAAGTGGCCATGGGAGGTGTCAGGAAGAGAATGCTCATGGGAGGCAAAAGGGAGGGAAATGGCAGGCTCATAGCTGAGTTGAGTGAGGTAATGGAGAGGAAGAATGTCAGCAAAAGCTCAAGCTGTGTGATCTCCTCAGTTGGCCTGAAGGGAGTGCCCAGACCTGGAAAACAAGATGGGGAGGAGACAAGAGATGGCAGAGGATTCAGTGTCTACACTCCTTGCTGCCATTTGATGCCATGGGTCACCTCGGAGGACCTTCCCTTGAGGCTTGAAAGCCGGCCCCAGCTCTAGTCAGAATAGCTCCACAGTCTGGTCCTTCTCACTACCCTGATCAGAACTGAGAGGGCCCTGGGAGTGGTATGATCACCAGGGCTGCCTGTATTATGAAGCCTGCAGGCAGAGTGTGGGTCCTTCCTCATGAGAGCACAGTGAGACCTCAGCCCTACAGGCCTCAACACCAGATATGCCCTCAGGGAGGCCTGAGCTGGCTGACTTGCAGACCTGACTAGTAGAAGGTTGCAGAGGGCCCACTGTTTCTGAGCCTCAGCTAAAAACACTGGCTACAGGAAACTATGAGGGACTCCACGAACAAGCACTGTGTGCTTATTGGGTTGCAAGTGTAGTGCTGACTGTGGATTGTGGGTCATTTTACACAGAGTGTGAGATATGCACAACCCCATGTACAGCCAGACCTGAGGTTTGTTCATTTACTGAAACGATTTCAGGAGATGACACAGAAGGCTGGTTTCATGGCCACTACCTCCCAATGATGTCCTGGCCTGTAGGAGACAAGGGGAAATGAGGGAGGAGACTTTATTCTCAGTATCACACAAGGACTGTTGAAGGTGTTGTATGAGCTTTGAGGACAGAGGAAGGTATGAGCATTCAGCAGAAGCCTTTTGTACCTCATGGCATCCCTATGGTACTGGGTCTGCATGCCACCTGCACTGATCTCTGCACCTAGGAAGACATGGTTCCCACACATCTGTCCACTACTCACTGGTCACACAAAGGTCTCCCAGATCCAATGATAATTGGTGACATCATCCCCAGAGCAGGTCTGGTACAAGGCCAAGTGAGCATGCTCAGACAGATCTATGACTGTGTCTCCCATTCCCATACTCAATCCATCATACCAAGAAAATGAGCAAACCCCACAGGAAACTGCAGAGGGCTTCCCTTTAAAAATTGACTGATGGCTTCTGTGCTGGGGTCTTGCAGGTATTTTGATGTAGTTGAAGCATTTCTGTTGGTTTCCTCTGGGAACGAACACAGGTTACACAGGAGCCTCAAAGTCAGTGGTGTCAAAACAAGGAACATGTACCATGAAAACAACAGCAGCTGCTGCTGTGACATCAACCAGGAAGGGAAGCTTTTGGGGCCTCTGTTGAGACAACACACAACACAGAGGGATATAAAACCCCTGGAGTTCAAGGGTTCCTCACTCACTCACTCACTCACTCACACCCTCCTCCTCTACAACTTCACCTCTTCCACCCCACCCCACACCATGGCTGCTTCCAACATGTCTGTCTGCTCTAATGACCTAAGCTATGGCAGCCGTTTCTGCCTGCCCGGGTCCTGTGAGTCTTGCACCGACTCCTCTGGGAAAGTGGACAACTGCCCAGAGAGCTGCTGTGAGCCACCCTGCTGTGCCCCCACCTGCTGCCAGACCAACTGCTGCGCCCCCACCTGCTGTGCCCCAGCCTCCTGCCAGACCCTCATCTGCACCCCCATGAGCTGTGTGTCTAGCCCCTGCTGCCAGGCAACCTGTGGGTCCAGCCCCTGCCAATCAGTCTGCACTAGCTCCTGTGAGCCTTCCTGCTGCCAGCAGTCTAGCTGCCAGCCTGCATGCTGCATACTCTCCCCCTGCCAGCAGGCCTGCTGTGTGCCTGTGTGCTGCAAGCCCATCTGCTGCAAGCCCATCTGCTGTGTGTCTGTCTGCTGCAAGCCTGTCTGCTGCGAGCCCGTCTGCTGCAAGCCCGTGTGTTGTAAGCCCGTCTGTTGTGAGCCTGTCTGCTGCAAGCCTGTCTGTTGTGTGCCTGTCTGCTGTGGGGCCAGCCCCTGCCCTGCCCCCTCATGCTGCCAACCCTCTACCTGTACAACCTCCTGCTGTAAACCCTCCTCCTGTGTGTCCCTCATCTGCCAACCAGTGTGCAAGCCCGCCTGCTGTGTGTCCACCTCCTGCTGTGCCCCTGCCTCCTCTAGTGTGTCCCTGCTCTGCCGCCCCTTGTGCAAGCCTGCCTGCTGTGGCCCCTCATCCTGCCAGAATTCCTGCTGCTGAATGGGCACCAACCCTCCGAAGCCAGTCTGCCTTTCTCCTGACATCTTTGGAGCCAGAGCCCAATCTGGAGTCTCTTCTTCCCCCAGAATGACTCTACCCTCCAACTGGCTGTGCTGAGTCTTTAGACTCCTGGGTGGAATCTCTCTGCTTCTGTGATTCATTCAGTGACCTCTTCTCAATCCTGGCTCACTGTTCCACATGAGTGACCTGTCTGCCACCAAATAAAAGCATTGTCTCTCCCTCTCAGGAGGCTTCCTGTGCATATCTGGAAAAGGCATGGGGTGGGGCACAGATGCAACATCGAGACTGGGGCTGTTCTGGGACCCTGAGCTTCTTACAGGGGGCATAATCATCTGGCAGGGATTAACAGTTCTCTCCCACTTTCAAGGTCACCTTTTTGGGAATTTCAGGGAGGAAACCATCACACTGACAGGGAGGCATGGAGAGAGTGGTGTGGCCCTGCTTGCAAGGGGATGGAGGTCCACCTGGGACACTGGTGGTCCCTAGTCAAAGGAGGTATTTTTGTCAGTGACTGGAGCTAGTAGACCTCAGATGGCCCCCAGTCACAACCCAGAAAAACTGCTTGGTGACATAATAATGACAAAACCATAAGTCAGAAGGAACAAATACCTTGCAGTAGAGTGTCTCCCTGGACTCTGGTGCTGCTCAGATCTCCAGGGTGAGAAATCATGGCTCCCCAAGACATGAGGATCACAAACATGGCACCATCCTGGGCCTGGTTCTCAGGACATCCTGTCCCTCCCCTAGGCCTGAAACCAAGCTGTGATTCTCTGTGCATGCCTGCATCTACCAGCCCAGACTTGGGACACCGGATCCACTCTCACTCCTTATCCACCCCACCTCCCTCACCACTTACTTCTCTCCCTCTGTCCCCCATTTTTTTCCCACCTTCCACCCAGCCCAGGCCCCCTCTCTCCTGACTTCTCCCATCCCCATTCTGCGTCCTCCCTCTCAGCCCAGTACTCTCTGCACATAGCTCTAACTGAGCTTGGCTGGCCTTTCAGAAGTGGTCAACTGATTAAAACCAACAACATATTTTGATGGGGCTTGAAGGGCTTTTTTGATTACCCAGACCACCTCCCCATCCTTTGTCCCCTCAGCAGCCCCTTCCCACCAGGCTGTGCTCTCTGCCCTCCTGTGTCACAGGCTATATAACCCTGTAGGCCATGTTGAAGGCCCATCATGGGTTCCAGAGACCTATTGTTTCTGGGGGAGAGAGCCATTCATATGGCCCTGAGGCAGTTTCAAACCATACATATTTTGTTGTGGAAGCTCTGGTGGCATAGTGCCTAAGGCACTTGACTGCTAACCAGCAGGATGGTGGTTCAAACCCACCAGCCACTCCTCAGAAGGAAGTTTGTGCAATGTACTTCCCTAGTTATACTGCCTCAGAAACCCAAGGAGTGATCGTTATGAGTTGGATCTGACTCAACAGCAGTGAATTTTTTTATATTTGTTGTTAGCTACCCTGGAGCTGACTCCAGGTGACCCTGTGTACAACAGAGCAAAACATTGCCTGGTGCTTCATTGTGTTCAATATTGCCAGCAGGTTCTCTCTCGTCTCCTTCTGGAATTCTCACTGAATACATTTTAACCTTCACTCTCTAGCCTATCATGGCTTTATTGTTTTTGTCCCTTTGTGCTTCATTTGGCCTAATTTCTTCGACCGTTCAGTTCACCAATTCTCTATACTGTTATAACTAAGCACTTAGTTTTATTTCAGTTATTGTATTTTTTTATTTCCAGTAGTTCTGTTTGTATCATTTGTTCCAATCTACTAGGTCACTTTTTAGAGGTTCTTATTCTTTGAATATATTTTAAAGCCAATCTTTACTTTTTTAGATGTTTATGTATAGGTGTTTATATGTGTGTGTGACAATTCTAATACTTGAAGTCTCCATGGTTTCATTAATTTGTTTTTTCAATTTTTACTGGTTCTTATTCAGGATGCCTTGTTTCCTTGTGTCCTTAGTTATTTTGGACTAAATAATGGTCCCTGAGAGTCCCTGAGTAGCACAAGTGACTAAATTATTGGCTACTAAGAAAAGGCTGGCAGTGGGAGTCCTCCCAGAGGTGCCTCAGAAGAAAGACCTGTCAATCTACTTTCAAAAGTTCAGACCCACTGAGTGCAGATTTTTTTTCCGGTTTAATGATCCTCATCTTTGAAAAAGCATTTATGGGTATTGTGTGTGTGTGTGTGATTTGGGTGAAAAGCAAATTCATGTTCCATACACCAGTACATACACAATTTGATTCATGACATTGACTGCAATTGCCCACAATGTAACAGCTCTCTTCCCCCTTCCTCCCTGTAGTTACCTCTTCCCTGTGTCCTTCCTTCCTATGCATTCCTGCTCCCTGAGCTATCTCCCTGTGCAAATACTGCTCTTCTGTTGTCCCATGATTGATCACTCTAAGGAGTGTATCTACCTGGTTAAACATTCACCCTACGTGGCTATGTGTTATTTGGCTAGAATCCAGGGGAGTGAGTTCAATTCTAGCCCTGAAGGGTAAAAAGGGGCCATAGTTCAGGGATCTCACCAGGCTCTATCAAACCAGTAACCGGGTCTTTTTTCCCATGATTTTGAGTTTTGTTCCATATTGTTTTCCTGTGCTGTCCAGGGTCTCTTGCACTGATCTCTTTCTGAGTGGTTGACAGTGGTACCTGGGCACCATCTTATTGTTCTGGTCTCAGGTCACACAGGCTGAGGTTTGCATGGTCTACTGGTCCTTTGAACTAATTGTTTCCAGGCATCTTTGGTTTTCTTCATTTTTTGCTGCAGATGAGGAGAGATCCATTGCTGCATCTAGATAGCTGCTTGCAAGCTTTTAAGACCCCAGTTGTTTCTTATCAAAGTAGGATGTAGAACAGTGTTTTTGTATGGTATGTTTTGCCACTCTTTGGAAGGAAGATGGAGCTATCTACTTCTATAAAGATTTACTGCTTCAGAAACCCAATAATGGTCGCTATGAGTCAGAATACTGAAAGAGGAAGTCAAGCTGCAATGAAGGAATTGGCAAAGAACAAGACTCCAGAATTGAAGGAATACCTATTGAGATATTTCAACAAATGGATGCCGCACTGGATGTACTCACTCGGTTATGCCAAGAGATTTGGAAGACAGCTACCTGGCCAACTGGCTGGAAGAGATCCATATTTGTACCCATTCCAAAGAAAGGTCATTCCACAGAATGTGGAAATTATCAAACAATATCATTAATATTGCATGCAAATAAGATCTTACTGAAAATAATTCAAAACCGGTTGCAGCAGTATATTGACAGAGAACTTCCAGATGTGCAAGCTCAATTCAGAAGAGGACATGGAACAAGGGATATCATAGCTGCTGTCAGATGGATCTTGGCTCAAGGCAAAGAATACCAGAAAGATGTTTACTTGTG